CCCCAAAACCCCAAAACCCCAAAACCCCATCATATAAAATTCCCTTGAAAATGACGTACACAAAGCCTTTATTCAGAAAGCTCACATCCATTATATTCCTCTTTACTGGGATCTCTCACTGGGAGATCCCAGAGGAAGTGGGGCTCTAGCCATTTGGAGCCATCTAAGCTAGCCACTAGCTCAGAGATGCTTGCAAAGTCTTGTTTTGAGAAAGCTTGTAGAGCTCCTGTTTCCTCCCAGTACTTTTCTTTTTGGATGCTTGCTTGCAAAATCTTGTTACGAATAGTAATTAGCTTCCTTGCAAGATTCTTATATCCTTTAGAGGTCTTCAAATAGCCACTCCCACTCTTTTTGATGTAATCAATAAGTGAATCTGAGAAATCTATGTTGAGAAACATCTGTTTGGGATCTGAAGATTGAAGAGCTTTGTATTTTCTCTTTAGAGCTCTCTTTGATTGAGACTTATTTCAAATACTCACTTAGCTTCATATTCTTCGAAGCAGCAAGAAAGCACTTACACCCCCTCTAAATTCTCCTTAGCTAACATATACCTCAAAATATCATCAAAAGCTTTCTTAATAATCTTAATTCTCTCCGGGCTCCACTCACTCAAATTCTCGCCTACAGTCGCTATCTGACTCAGTCTGACATTGTCCGGATTCTCACTGATCATCCTTGGGATTTTATGATAGGCGAAGTTTTCATTCTGACTGATCTTGGTTTTCTCATCTTGGAGCTTCTCTTCGCAGAGAGGGGAGTTTTTAAGCCTTTTCTTGAGTAAGGTGTTCTCGTGTGTGAGGTGAAGGTTTTGTTCCTTGAGGGTTTTGTTCAGGTGTTCTAGAGGTGAGAGGGGGAGTACCTAGGGTGGAGATGTACTGTTTGTGACGGATGCGGTATTCTTGGGAGCGGGTTTTGGCGGATTTTGTGTGGGGAAGGGGTGGAGGGGTGTTCATGTTGGGGATTTTGTTTTATTATTAGAGATTGTTGATGGGGATATTATATATTCTTGGATGTATTTTTGGCTTGATTCGGTTGTGTTTCTCATATTTATCAAATTCCAACCCCTATCAACAAAAAAGGGGTTTTGGGGTTTTGGGGTTTTGGGG